CATTGCAATTTATTGAAAAATATGTATCGAGATATATACATAAAAATATCTTGACCTTCCTGTAGTAAGGACTACCTATTAAGGAAGCGATTATTACCGCTCAATTCCACGAACCTAATGTTGTTGACATTTGAGACGTAAACGTAACAGAGAACAGTAGCAATTTAAAAAATTACTCAGTGAATGAAAGCCAGCCAGCATTATTCCATGTTGGTTTAACACAATTCGTGGAACAGGGCACGATTTTACATTCAACTAAAATCAGGTAAACAAGGCTGTTTATTTACGATACCTTAGCCTCGCTCTGTTTACAAATAACTCAGAGTTTGACAGTAACAGGTTTTGACATTGTAGCGGTTTTTATTGTATTTTTATATCTAGACCATTCAGTGACCACGGTCAGCTGGCTAGAAGAGAATAATTTATAGCTTGAGAAATCAATATTAAGGTCAGTGGCCTAGAAGTAAAAGTGGCTTTACTTAAAACTTCAAACGATGTTGAACGTAAGTAAATTGTATGCTTGGGACTCACTCGATCCATATCATTACACCGACTACCTACTCATTCTAAGTAGTCACTTACGCAGATAAGTGTAAAGTTAAACACGAGAATTTTATTCAACACAGTGATACCTACACGTCTGGTGCACTTTATTCGATTAAATAATTACTCACTACTCACCATCATCATTGAAGTATGCATATTCTGAATTCAACACCTCGCTTGTTCCATATCGACACGGGAATCAAACCCGGCACCAAACGCCGCTTACATCATACGCGCCAAAATAAACTCCCGCCGAAAAAAACACACGTCAATCAACAAACACAAGGTTAAAACACCAAGTAACCAACACTGAAATTAAAACAATAGTTTAACGTTGACTAAGAAAATAATTAATGAAACTAAACTGCATAAAAGTCACTGATCAGGTTACAAATAGTCATTCATAAATAAATGGAGTCACTATCGAAAACAAAACACGTTAAAGTTTGTAAATACGTAATTATTGAACAAAAAACTGAGTAGCAAACACCACCTCCGCCTCGGTTCACGGCACTGCACTGACTGACGCGCGTGCCTACGAGCTGCCTACCTGATATCTCTAGCGCATTCCAACGCGGACAAAACCTTTACGTTAGAAAGAGATAGCTATACAAACATACTGCGTCTACGAAATTGCATTTTGGTATACACTTGCATTTCTGGATATGACGAACTGACGGCGTTAACTAGAAGTTAACGTCTGTTAAACTCGGTTTAACGTTAGTCTAGGAGTGATTCGGTAGTTTACTCTAGATTTAGAACGCTGTCATAATGAGTCGCTGGCATTTATTTTAAGATATTTTATGGATGTATCAAACCCGGTGGCAATTGTTTTTAACGGGTCTTTGGGCTTGACTTAATTTACACTCTGATGTCAGTGGAGAATTAGTCATCTTTTTTCTGTTTAAATCGACAGCTAAGTAAGTGAGCATGCCTATTTGTTGTGCAAACTGTCGTTTTCCTTAAGCTAAGTTTAATGACAGTAAAAAACTTCAGAAGTGTTAAAAACTGTAAACAAATCAAGAAAAGTTTTCGGTCAAATAAAAAAACAAGTAACATTGCATTATCTATGGATAGCGAATGCAATGTTAGGTACTTGTCTAAATATATTATAATGAATTCAAAACAACCGTTGTCTTTAGAACATTGTTTTTTTTTTAGATCCTGAGTCACTTATTAGATAGCATCAGAATCCAAATTTAAAATTCTATACATTCCAAAAACCAAACAGAAAATATCGCAACTGGCAACATTTCACCTCAACTGTCAAAATAGAACGTTCCCCCAAAATTTGAATTGTACGCAAATAAAAAAGAAATTTGAGATGCGAATTCCCTGCGGTGCAAAATAGTCACTAGGCTGAATTCTTAAAAACCTAAGACCCAGTACAGGGCACAAAGGGTCTCCAGTACCTTTCGTAGTGTCACGTCTCCTTGGACCGTTCCAGTGTAAATATTTTAACACATTCAGCCAAGCTCCAAGCGGAACCCCGTGCTATTTAAATATAAACACCTTAACAGAAAATAAATTTAGATGGGCAGGTACATAAGTGTGTGTACATAAAATGTAGATAAATTGTTTATTTCTAGGTTATGCGTAATAGATGAGGGAACACGTGGAGTTTCATGGAGGTTGTGCTATTTAGAAACACATAATACAACATCGTTTATTTACAAAAGGGTTGTTGTTTTCGCAGTTCGAACGACTTTGTGGTTGCATATATTCGATATTGGAATTTTTTTTTGCACACATTGCCCCACTCTAGGATTTTCTCCTGGGTCGTGGGTGCAATTACAAACATATAAGTTCACATACACATGACACCCACACCCGATACAACAATTTGCGGATTACACAAATAGTTGTTCCGTGCGGGAATCGAACCCGCAACACGTTGCGCGGCAGCCGGTTGCCCAGCCACCGCACGAATCGTGCAGTCAATTATTTGTTAATCATTAATGGATTACAACTTGTACGTAATTATTAAACTTGAAAGTGTTAATCCGAAACATAAGAACTGAAGAAAGAGTACAGAACCAAAAATCATGTAACTAATGTAATGGAACTAAACAATTTGCATTCCTCCCTGCTAGATATCGGTACTTGATTTATCTAAGTAAATTATTTATATACTGCCTCGTTGACCGACGCGACGCGGCAAGGCTTCGATTCTCGGGTCGGGCAAAGTATTACTGGGTTTTCTTTAAATCTCAGTCGTAGCACGGAGTCTAGAATTGTGCTCGGATATGGCAATAGGCTCACCCCCTATTATATGAGACTTATAAACAGTGAAAAGTGGATGTCACATTGTGTGTCGTAATGTGCACCTTTGCCTACCCCTTCGGGGATAAAAGCCGTGATGTTATTTCATGTTATTTAGAATATTATTCTGTGGGCCCATAAAAATGCAGGGAGGCCAGAATATCTACGTTATTATGCATAGTAATCAGTTCTCAAATCATCCCGACCTCCTTCTTAAGGTTTTCGGTAGTCCTTCCAGCAACTTTACTCGTTGTAGACTAACTTTTGACATAAAACTGGGAACTGTGTATAGGAAGGATTTCAGTAAGTTTATAAAAACATTTTCGGCGTTGATTTAGTTCATCTCTCAAAGTCCTGTTGATGTAATGTCGGATTCCTGAACACTCTACTTGGATTGTTTAACGTTGGCTTTGGATTTAGTTTGAGGATAGAATAATAAATATGAATATACAACAAATATTATGTGCAAAGTCTTAAAATATACATATTATCGGGTCTACATATTTCGCCATTCATGGCATACAAAATAGTATTTTACAAGATTTGGTCTCGGATACATTAAAATTATAGAACAAAAAGAAAGACTAATTATATACAGCAGACTGTAAATTGTTACTTACACTTTATAAAGTAAATGTAAAACGAGTGTCTTTTTGTCCACTAACCAAGCGAAGCGCATATTTCACAAGTTCAATAAAAACAATATCACTAAACTTACTTTCAATCAATAATCACATTTTTAATTTAAACAAAACAAACAAAAAAATATGTTTTATAATAACTATCGTGAGACATACTAAATTAACTAAAATCTCGGGTTAGGTACGTGAACATACTGAGAACAAAAAATTAATTAAAAATCATAATAATATTAACTATCTAGAATATTTTTTGCCATTCACCATTTTTTTTTTTTTATGGGGGGAAAATCATCGAGTGACTGCTCCCGCCTGGGTGAGGCGGAAGGGAGTGTCAGACTCTTACTGACTAAAAACCACCCCGTTCCTTCTCCTGCACGTCGAGCCGGAGCCCCGGTTACCACCACCCGGTTCACCATACGGTGATAATTTTTATGATATTTACACCCCAATTTAATGTAGGGGCCTTGCGAACAAGTGCATTAATAACAATGTTACCACATAACACATAATGCAGTGTGCATCCATCATTCTCTAAAGAATGGCACACACGTGAATGTTAGAGTCATCCAACAGTTGGTCAGCTATTTTTTTTAAATAGGAGAAGAGGGTCGTGGTCTTTTGACAATGCAACATCACCCTTGTAATAATTGCACAAGTGTGTTTTAATTTTTTTTTTTACTTTTTATGGGGTAGCGCAGCAAATAAGCTCTCGGTCTGCCGTCCATGAACAATTGAACGTCCGCAACACCTAAGTGTGAACGAGTTTTACAAGTGCATTTGATTAGGATTACGAATTATTGTATCCGAACCTCACGCACTTGTAACGTATGGTTGGTGCGGCGGCTGGGCAACCGGCTGCCGCGCAACTTGTCGCGGGTTTGATTCCACAAATTAATTTTTGTTTCGGGGTGGTTTCGGGTCTAGGTGTAATGTGTATGTGAACTTGTATGTTTGTAAACACACCCACGATACAGCAGAAAATCCTAGTGTCGCGTAACTTATTAAAAAAAAGTAAATAAAAAAGAATGTTTAAAATAAAAAAGTAAGTAAAACAGAAAATATTAATTTTGTATTAAAATTCTATCGTAAAAAACTATAGGTTTTATTCAAATAATTTGGGCACATTTTTTTTAACATTAAGTTATTATACAGTAATCAAAAATATGACTCCAAGAAATAAATCGAGACAATTGGAATGACGACAGGGTATGAAAATTAAAAATATAATTAGTCCGTAAGTTAGGTAATTAAAAAATATTAGACACGTATTTTTTATATTGTCGTAAAATAAAACAATACTTACATAAAACGAATCAAAGTTTAGGAGTGGGGGCTAAAACGTCATTTGTACGTATAAAATGTAGGTACATAGAAGTGACGTCACGCGACATTTCAAATCAATATAACGTCGAAAGTATTCGTATCTGTAAGAAAATAAAAAATACGTGTCTAATGATTTAAAATAATCTACCAGTCGGTCGGACATTACTTTAAAAATAAGGCATCTACCCTATTATGTTATAATTTTTTGTTGACGTTGATGGAAAGCAGTTACCCACTAGTGACATTTACGTACAAAGTTATGGGGTTTTTCCATATTTCACATCGGGAACCTTCGAAGTTACTAGGGCAGCTACAACCAGATAATCCATTGTCACCATAAACACAGACGCCATTGTTCAGGCAATAATTGTAGCATACATGGGTTTCACACCTATTACCAAGATATAACTTATCGCATCTGAAATAGAAAAAAGACAAATAAATTTCTAAAGTCTAAGTCATCATGAATTTCTTAGCGACAAATGAATTTGAGTGAGGGTAATGGATAAAGGATGATATTTAAATTGTAACACATTTAAAACACAACAACATAAAATCACACCTTTTTATCCCCGAAGAGGAAGGCATAGGTGCACATTACTGCACTTAATGCCACTGTACAATATAACACCCCTTTTCACTATTTATCTTATGAGGACCATGTAATAGGGGGTGAGCCTATTGCACAAAAACCGGGCACAATTCTAGACTCAGTGCTACAACTGAAGTTTTTCTTAAAAACCCAGTGATACTTTAGCCGACCCGGGAATCGAACCAAGGGGTTCGATTCCCGGGTAAGGACCCGGCAGTCACACTTGCAAACACTCGGAACGATGCAGTAATTTAATAATATTATAGTAACTCTTTGTCTCTTTCGATGACGTATTAACCGACTGAATTTGTAAATTGTTATTGTTATTATTTTCATTGCATATTAATATTTGTACACCAGTCATGGTTAAACATGTTCATACAATCAATAAGTAATATATATATATAGTGAACATAAATTTTTGCATGTAATATTATGACCTACACATGTTTTGGCAAATAAAATGATATTTATCTTATCTTTACCACGGATAGTTCCTAAATTGCTCAATTGAATAAATATGCGGGAATCAAACGTATGGTTTCAGACTTGGAAAAGGCACAGTTATAAAGAAAACCAAAAACTAAATACAGACTAAAGCAAATGAAAAAGAACTGACCTGCATTCCGGTTTTCCTTCACTATTGATATGGCAATCTCCATTGAGGCAGAAATTGTGACAAAATATAAATTTGCGCTCCTCAACTGTCAAATAGGCCTCAATATTATTGGTCGTAGTCTTAAGATGAGACGAGAGTTCAGGAGTATCGAACGAGGTGATAGGCGATACCACGTTAGGATAGTCAGTGGTTTTTAGGTCTGTCTGTCTAATATCTTCAGCAATGGTATCAAATCCCCTTGTTTTAGAGTTCCTTGGAAGAAAAGCCTTTTGTACACTGTGTTTACTATTAATATTTCTCAAATTTACAACACTGGTCGTAGTCTCAAGATGAGACGAGAGTTCCGGAGTATCGAACGGGCTGACAGTCGATTCGACATCAGTGGTTATTAGATCATTCAGTCTAACATCTTTCGTAATGGTATCAAAGACCCTTGTTTTAGAGTTCCTAGGAAGTAAAGCCTTTAGTGCATTGCATTCCTCAATTCCTTCAATTTGATCTTCAATTTTATAGTTAGCAGCAATACCGAAAGGTGTTTCATTATTAAAGTCTTTTATAATAACAGGCTCTGCATCGAACGGCGGGTTCTTTGAAAGTTGCCACATAGATTTGTAACCCCAATCTACCCAGTATATGAAGCCTTTAGAGACGGTCAGTGCATTAGGCTGATGAAAAAATCCAGACAATAAAGTTACTCTGTTCTTTCCATCCAAATCTGCGCTCTCAATAGAATACTTTATGCCTTCTTTATCATCAGCCCAGTACAGTTTCTTCGTCTGCTGGTCAATGGTCAAACTGATTGGCATATAGATATTATTGTCTATTAAAACTTCTCTTTCGGTGCTGTTGTAGCGACTCCTCTCTATTGAAGGCTTCGAAACGTTTATGTTGGTCCAATAAACGTACCTGTAATTTGTAAATCACTATCAAGATCTCATTGAGTTATACAACCATTAATAGAAAATTATTAGTAACATACCCTCTGCAGCTGTCCACTGCAATAGATCTGGGAAGCTCATCATCCATCTTGAATAAAAGATTGCCACTTACATAGTTCTCATATCTATGCTTCAATGAAATCCAGTATATGCTTCTTTCATACAAATCAGTCCAGAAGAGCAACTCTTTCGCTGGATCAAAGGCGACATCTTGAATATTTTCGTGTGTTTTCTTTGCAACTAAACATTGAAATTTTTGAGTTGATTTGTTGTAACTGAATATGGACCCGTTATCGCTTTGCTTGTCGACAAATATTAATGTGTCGTGCAGAGCATCATAGGTTAGGGCTGTGAGGTCTCTGGAAGGCATTACTTCAGATTGCACTTTAATTCCATTGTCGTAAAATTCTAGTTGATCTGCTACGGTCGTAACAATATCTGGAATGGATAATTATTGTAGATTAATAATTTTATAATGTGACGTGATGATTGCTGGGCTTAATTTCTTCCACTAACAACTTGATACTCTTGTTGATTTTCAAATAATGATTAGGTACATGAAGAGATACTTACCCCAAGATTGTACCACAATGACGGGTGCCACCACCAATAAAAATAGTAAATTATACATTTTTTATTCCTTCATGAACGAGTCATGCATGAGACGCACTCGCGACCAAATGGTCCTGAAGTTACGTGTGCGGCTATTTATCCCTATTCGATAAAAAATAAGTATTTTTATCGCAAACTGGTAGTTTCCTCTGGTAACATTTTTAGAGATCGGCACCCAACATGTGCCAACTTTCGATCGGATGCTACAAATGCAAAAAATTTGATAATAGAAGAACTCAATGATGTTTGGGCTAGAAATCCTAGAATCCAGGTTCTCATCGACAAACTTATTCGTTTGCACAGTAATACTAATATACCCCTAAATATTAATAGTACCTACGGAACTGTTAAATTGTGTGTCTAATTCGCTCTTATCTATTTTTTAATAATATATCACGAATGTTATACCTAACAAGTCCATTTTAATGGAAGTTTTATAACAATACAACAAAACTAATATCTAATTAAGTTATCAAATAAATAAGGTTTTCCCAATGTTTGTTCATGTTCATTAATAAACGTAGGTACATGAATTTATTATCTGTATGTGTCACCTGTTTTAGAGTGTGAAATAAAGTTTTTTTTAGGTAATACTTATAGCGTTAGTCTTGAGACCTTTGAATATCCTAAGTCTGTAACCAGCATCCACAGAGCAGTCAGGAGCATTTCTTAAGGTTTTGAATGCCAATAGAAAACTGTTGAAGGCGAATCCTCCGCTAACGTCCGTCAGATTATTGCCAACTCCACTAAAGGGATCATTGTATACTTCACTTGCCACACCCACTCACACTTGATGTCCAGCCACCGTAAGTACGGGCCTGTGGACGGCGAGCATGGGTAGCCAGGACGACCAGAACCAGACCCACGCACCTCAAAGAGCCATCAGACCACCACAGATGGGGCCCAATAGGGCCGATGCCGATCCGGAGTCGCGGAGAACCTAACGGGTAACTGGGGCTCCGATTCGACGTGCAGGAGAAGGAACGGGGTGGTTTTTAGTCAGTAAGAGTCTGATACTCCCTCCCGCCTCACCCAGGCGGGAGCAGTTATTCGATGGGCTGATGCCGATACGGAGCCGGATGTAAGGTTTAGTCAGTAAGAGTCTGACTCTAAAGGTGGGAGAAGCCATTCGATGATTCTTCACCCTTAAAAATATTAAAATATCTGTTGAAAAATGGTGTTGCACTTAATATGAGCGCCTCTGCTTATCTTTTCGTTGTATTAAAGCTATGATGCTATCCTAATATCCTCTGATTGATATCTACCGCGAACAGTACACACATCAAAAGCATATATACGGTCGAATTGAGAACCTCCTCCTTTTTTTGAAGTCGGTTAAAAAAGTGGACTATTTCATAGATTTCGTACAGCTAGTGCCATCTAGGAATACAAGTCTACAGCAACTTGGTTTAGTTTTACATGGACAATGTAGGTATGTACCTGTAAGGTTCTGCCACTTAGTCAATAGATGTCACTATAGTAAAAAGTAAAATTTCATTTTATTGTACTGCGTCGTTTGTTTCCGTAACGTAATATTTAGCATAACATAAATAAATATGTACTTATTTTTAAATTTTAATGTCGACCTTTTACTGTTCAATGTGCAACGCGTGAAAGTTTATAGTGACAAATCATAGATGGCGCTACATGTCTCTCCAAGGACAACTTGATGATAATTTTTATTTATTCTTCTATAAAATGTAAACATAAAATAACAATAAAATTGAATTTAATTAGTTCACTAAAGTAGACTGATAATTCTAACATTATTGGCACAATGACTTTAAAACGTCACGCCTAGTTACCTGAAATTCTTTGAAAATATAGAATAGTAATAATTTATTGCCCTTGGTTTATTTACTACTTTTTAACAGTAATGCAAGTCGGTTAAAAACTATATTACAATATAACTATCGTATATTCAATTAATTACGTTTGTAAAGCTTTCACGTGAAAATTGATGCGCATGTTACTCATTATGGGCCCCAGGAGTGACATGAAATTAGTTGAGTAACTTCTTCGAACAGTTACGAGAGGCATAACTTTAAAACGTGCATACATAATTTTAAGGTTAATATTTGAAGTAAGTATTCATTATAATAATATTATCTTAACTGACAATCACAATAATAAATAGATAACCTTAAATAAATCCAGTTACCGAGTAGGAAATACGTCATAGTGCAAAATTATGTAGACGTAAGAAAGGTCAATGTCCTATCAGATATAGTAATACATAATAAGCATAACATAATGTATGTATGCGTATATACGTAATTCTGCTTCGATAGTTGAGAGGTCATAAGCGCCACTGTTAAATAAGGAGCTTCGGGGGCTAGACTCGTGTCAAAGGAATCACTAAAATATTATTGAACTTTTAAATTTTATTTTATAACATCACAGGTGCACATTACGGCACTTAATGCTACTGTACAATGTAACACTCACTGGATGAGGAAATTGCCGTAGAGGTACCGAGCACAATTGCAGACTCCGTTCTACTACTAAGATTTTTGTGAAACCCACAGTAGTAAAATAGTTTGCCCGACCCAGAAATCGGACCCGAGACCCCTTGCCCAGCAGTAGCACTTGCCGCGACTAGGCCACCGAGGCATTTATTTTAACTCGTCGAGTACCGGTTTTATAGACACAATTAAAGAACAATAGGTCGCGGTCACCGGTGACCGCTTGGTATTTGACAGTTTAATGGTAGGTACAGTAATCAATAAACAGCCTTTTTATGTTATTTCAGACAATAAAATTTCATACCGATCCCTACAGCCATATTGACGTGATTGTGAAACCAACACACACACAAACATACATAATATCACATATACCTCTATAATATTAGTAAGATTGTAAACTTTTCAATTCATTTGGTTTAGTTATTCTGAGGTCAGTTTCATTTTTTGACCTACCTCTATTATATCCGAATGTAATGTGACTATACACAAGGGGAGCGGTCAGAGTCCGGAGATTATCCCTACAGCAACTGACAAACACATACGTAAAGAAGAGGGTCATTATAAAGGGACGCCGATGATTTTGAATGAAAGTAAAATTTTAATTGAAATCTATTTTTGTGATGAAGGCACAAATAGGGGCGCTACGTCTGCCAATTGACAGCGCGATAGCCGAGGGTAGTCTCGAGTTATTGATTTTTTATCTTCTATGTGATAGGACTTACCTAAAACGCTCATAGACGCATAAAAAAGGTGGGTATAAAGTCTACCAAGCACGATCATCCTGTCTGGTCGGAGGATTCTCCTGTTCCGATCCTAGGTATCTCTACTCTCCGTTCCCTAAAAGTACCATGTAGTAACGACGAAGTAAATTCCTCATCATACCACTCTCCCCCAGGAGTCGTTAGAGTCGACTAAGGCTACACATCTAACAGGGATGTGGCAACAACCCTCGCTGATAAGTAAACCCATTTTTAAACTGCGGTATCCAACAAGTCAACCAAGCACTAAGCATGGTGATTATGGAAACTGCTGCTACAAATGCTTTCATATTCAGTTCCATGCGCAATGAAATCAGCAGCATGCAGTGTGCTGTTTCATTTTCAACCTACTTCAAAAAAAAGGAGGAGGTTCTCAATTTGACTGTATTTTTTTTACAGAAAATGAATAGAAAAGAATGCTCTGAAGAAATGCGAGATGAGGTTATTTCATAATTCTCTCAAAACTTCTAGGGAAGAATTAGGAAACTAAACACGCAAATCATAGATTGATTAATATTTTTTCTGTGCATTCCATGTAGGTTCGAAGTCTATCTACTCAAATCAGAATGAGTCTGACAACGGTGTTATATTTTAAGTAGAGAAAATCATCAAATGGTTACTCCTATCTTGGGAGAGGCGACGGGGAATATCAGTCTCTTACTAACTAAAGATCACCGTGTTCGAAATCCTGCTTCAAGCCAGAGTTGAAAAAATTCCGGTACCTAACTCCCTTTATGACAAACATCAACGTGACATAAAGAAAAAGTCCCAGAATCAGTTAAAACTTTTTTTTATGGCATAAGCTGGTAAACGAGCAGGCGGATCCGTCTGATGGTAAGTAATTGGCGTCGCCCATGGACACCTAGAACACCAGAGGCGTTACAAGTGCGTCATCGGCTTTTTGGAGATTAGGAGTTTGAGGATCGTTGGGGATTCAGGGATTGGGGAGATTGGGGAAGGGAAAGGTAAAGGCCTCCGGTAACTTCACTCACACGACGAAACACAACGCAAGCGTTGCTTCACGTCGGTTTTGTGTGACTTTACAACAATTTACCAAGCAACAAGACTCGAGTTAATAAAACTTTAATTAATCCTTCGCAGTGCAATTGTCTCAAGCTTTTTTTTATATCTTAGCCACTAACCGTTTCTTAGTTCTCGGAAACATTGGACGGACAGGGAAGTGGAACCGGAAGTGTTGAATCGTGACCGGAAGTCCGTCAGCCATTATCGTTATGATCTAGATCTTGTTTCGCGACATTGTCCTACGTTTGGTTATGGTAATTATAATTATAAAATTTATTACATGTCCGTCATGTGACATGTGTATTGTTTTATTAGTCGCTATTTGCGATTTATTGTTGGAAACTGAAATCAATCTAGATAAAAAATAATGTAAAGGTGGAAAGTAGGTTTCAACTTCTTAGATGTGATGAAAAATTATGTAAGCAAAGATTTCATGATTATCATCATTATCATCAGCCTGTGTTCGTCCACTGCTGGGCATACGCCTCTCCAATGGCACGCCACTGAGCTCGGTCTTTACGGTCTCGGTTTTCTCACCCAACCACTGCCAGCAACCTTGTGGATGTCGTCATTCCATCTAGCTGGAGGACGCCCTACACTACGTTTGCCTAGACGCGGTCTCCAATCTAGAACACGTTTACCCCAAGGGTTATCGGTTCTTCGACAAATGTGACCGGCCCACTCTCACTTCAGCTTGAACTATGTCGATAACTTTGGTTCTCTGTCGGATCACTTCGTTTCGGATTCGATCCTTCAAAGATTAAATAATATAGACTGAAACTGTCTGAAAGATTTGTTCATTTTGAACACATAGTAACATTTTGCATGATGTACTGTATATTTCAATACAACGTTGTTAACTTCAATATCATCAGAATCAGAACCTAGTAGAAAAAATGCATCACGATGCAATATTTTTTAAACATTTGGCTCGTGGTAACACAGTAACAGTGGAAAATTGTGTCAAACATGACACACGCTGAAATATTGTTTAGTCAACATAAAGAGCGCTTGCTCTTCTGCTATGAAACCTACGTACACTGAAAGGTATGTGTGGTTTTATATGACTATGTAATCTTGTATAGGTAAGCAAAATAGGTATACGTGCCACGTGGGAGAGCCATGCTTCGGTACGAATGAGCTACTGACAATAATTTGTATCGATAGTTTAATAGTTATTCAGTGTTTGATTTTAAAAAGCTTTTAGAATGATTCCGTGGTCCTCGTTTGAGTAGTCGCAAGTTCGACTGCCAAACGAGGGGTCCCAGATTCTAAAATTAAAGTAGGTATGCTGGCCGCTTGCAATTTTAGAAAACATCAAGTCTAATCCTTTAATACTCAATAGAATAGCGCAATTACAATGCAATAACCACTTTTAGTTAGTTTCACGATTTCGTATGTTCAGGTCGGAATCTAAAATGATAAAAATTAATCACTGATTCATAATATAATATAAAACATGACTTCTTTATCATATCATAAAAAATCCACAGCTATTTCATTACAAAGTTCTTTAAAAACTTTGATTACGCAAAATAGATTAAAAAAGAAGATAAAATTAAAAAGATAAACAAGTCACTGTTCCCGTTGTTCCTGATTTGACCCTCCATTCGTAAACTCCTTGACCTCGAGGCTATCGAGACTATTCGAAACATGCATAAAAGAAGATTATCATTTCGTATACAAAACAATCTTTTATTCAAGATGAAGTCTGGTGGCCTATTTAGGCGGGGTTATAGACCTAACTCCGACCGCTTGACGAAAACGTCTAAGGCAATCGAAAATAGATTTTGCACCTAACCAATTTTAAATCACTCATGAAATAGGTAAATGAAAAATTTTGCAGAAGTTCAACAAAGCGAAGTTCGGTACTCCATTTATAGGACATGGCCGTGAAAAGCAGACAACCCGTTAAAAATTCAACAAAAACTTTATCACATATTAATTATTAAAATTATGAAAAATATGAACATACACCCGCATAGCAGTAGCATAGCATGACATGCCATAGCGTAGCATTGCATAGCATGGCAAAGCATGGCATGTCATAGCATAGCGTAAGCATAGCACAGCATAGCACGACGTGGTATGGCATGGCGTGGCATGGCATGGCATAGCATAGCAGTAGCATGGCATGACATAGCAAAGCACACTACCTGCAGCTGCTGTACCCACGCCCACACCCACAACAATACCCTATACATACAATCATTAATAATAATAATCTGCCATTAGTTTCTAAATTAGTACGGAGTTGTTTCGATGTATTAGTTACCTAGTTATAATTTATTTATTATTATTGTAATTAAAACTAAATAAAAGTTTTGTGAACTGCCTCATAAATAACCAGTGCTTAATTTTAATACTTACTTTAATTTTGTTTTTTTTTAGAAGGTAATAATTATTATACGAGTCGATTCTCATTACCAAAATAAAAAAGGTTTTGTTTTTTAATATCTTTTTAATTACCTACTTTTCTTTTAATCACCATCCTTATGCGTTATTATAGTATAACAAACTACTGTAAAATTACATAATTATAATTATTTGACTACATATTTTTTTACTTGATAGTTTTTTTTACTTGACTGAGCACCTAATCACTATTCTATCAGGTATAAAATTGGGAATCCTGTTTATTAAATTATTTTGTATTTCTTAATACTTTCATTTTCTGGATTGAAGTTTGGACTGAAGTTGCTGACTTATCAATCACTTTCGATGGCATGATGCCACATGACCAAAGTTGGATAATTTTGCAGATTTTTTTTTTTTTGTTAATTGTAAAAGAAAACAGCAAATCATTCAATGTTTTGCAATTAAGTACTTGTATGTATGTATGACCTTGTTTTTTTACAACCATTTGACTATTTGTTCGAAACTTACATTCTCTTGCTTCCGCTTATTAATTTTAATGAGAGTTATCCGTTTATACTATTTATTTTAATTGGTGACCATCATTTTGACCCACTTACTTCTAAGGTATTGTTTGAAAAGATAAGATTATAATCTTGAAAGTTAACTAGGTTTTAGGTTCCACTAAATAGGTTATAGAGGAAATGTAAAAAATCAAGATACAAACGTAAGGAAAAAAAATTGTAAGTTATAATATTATAATTCGATTTTTTTAGAAAATCCTCTGCATTTTATGCAAAGAAGTACAGTATTTGAAATCAACAAACTACATATAAAAGCCAAAAAAACTGCATTCCTTTCCTCGCTATCGCGAAGATACACATTATTGCTTCACGAACCATCCTTGTCTGTGATAAGAACGTCATCGCTAGCATGCGCGAATATTTTTTCAATGGACCTATTTAGATTCCGTTTCGTGTACGCGGCAAACTGAGCCGGCGTTTTGCTTCAGTTTCTCAATAGCAACAGACGGAGGTGGACGCGAGTGTCGCGCGCGCCATCTACCTCCAGTGAAACTCGTACAACGTATTGCAAACTAAATGTGCATTTAACTGTACGGATCTATATTTATGAAATAAAATGTGTAAAACACAGTGTGTTTTGGCGTTGTTGGCGCTCTCCGTGGGGGTGGCCCACTCCTGGGGTGAGTACGAGGGAATAATCAGCTGATCGGGCATTTTTGACGCACGTGCTAAATATTCTATTTTACTACGTTACATAACATAACAAGACGAGGTTATTTGCTACGACATAGTGATGATACACGTTAAGGTTATTTATCGCGGACGGAATTTGTGTGTCAAAAATTGTGGCCACGAGTATGTCGATAAGGGTGTATATCGCTTGGCGCGGGACGCCATTGCACGTCGGTCCTCAGTCACGTAGGCCACTTTTAGCGTACCGCGTGAACCCTGCCGCGTTGAGAATGCTCTTCTGAGCTACATTACCGTTTGCGCGCTTAGCATTCATATTTAGCCGTGTTGTACTGCTGAAATTTGGAAACTAATGATAAGAATTAGCTTTAAAACAGTTGAATGCAATAGTAAACTGCAGAATTTATTTAGAAAAATATCATATTGGTATGCTTCATTTAATATACCAAATAAATAGTGTCCACCTTTATTAATTCACCCGGTATATTACAATTAGTTGTACCTAGCTACTAACTTAACTTAATAGAATATTTATAAATAAACATTCTTGCCTACTAAACAGTAGATCAATGTATAATTGTAATAGTAAATATACGAAAGTGGTTATTATATAAGAAGTAATGACAACATACATAGGTATTGTAACGAGGACGATTGTAGGGCGAACACGGCGGGCGGGAAACAGACGGGGTAGACGTTAGGCGGGCGGCTGATAAAATGACGTAGTCCTGAAATGTCACAAAATCCAAATACTCATGTATACCGTTAACGTTCCTTGTTCATAGAATTTCTTACAAGTTAAATTTCTTTATTTTCTCTGCCTTTAAGTCATGAAATGTGTACTAAATACACTCATGTGTTGATGTTTTTTTTTACTTTTAACATACCTAATAAATAATCTTTATTTATCTATGAAGGTATTAAAATACAGACATTGTTAGGTAATAGGTATATAACAACAATGGTATACAAAATAATATTGTTTGATGATTGATATAGTTATTTGTAAATAGATCCATTGACAAACTGTATTAAGAATTTATAAACAATCAGATGACTGAAACAAAAACATCAATTGTTTTCAGCGAGAAAAAAATGTGTATGTTTGATCAAGAAATAATTATTATATTAGACTTCTTACATTGTCTAGTGTGTTATTTCACTAAATAAGTTAAACGACTTGGCTGGACGCTACCGTGCCCCCAGATATTTTTTTTGTACTTATAAACGATTTAAAAATTTAATAAATGTCCAATACAAGGCGTATTGGGTATTAATATATATTTTTAATTAGGTAGATACCTGTACCTAATCAGTCATGAAGGATAAAAATCACTGAATAAATAACCTAAATATTAACCGACTAGAAAAATATGGAATGACATAATTATCACGTATTATAGAAATATTTTACAACGAAAATTATGTTTTTTTTTTATAATTATCATTAGTGGTGTAATGTTTTAGGCCTATCCTTACTTTCCTTACTTATATTATAAATCGGAAAGTGAGTTTGTTTGTTTGTTCCACTTTAACGCCGTAACTACAAAACCGATTGCTTTGAAATTTTGCAGACGTAAAGTTAGAAGTTCGGATTAAATAACAATACTTTTTATCCCGGAAAAATTTGATATTCCCGAGGAAAAACAAAACTATTGGTATAGATGGCGCTGTGTGTATTGATATATGTCACATTGGCTTTTTATTCCTTTTGTGACGCGAGCGAAGCCGCGGGTAAAAGCTAGTGTAACATAAGCGTCGGGACAGAGATTTTTTTTGTATATTTTTAGTTTTAATATCTACTTAATTTCATCCAAAGCAATTTTTATTATGTCAAATAATTATGCTTGCAGTATAATAGTGATAAGAATTAGAAAGTAAAAAAGGAGTTTATGGTCACCTTTATGGCGTAATATTTTTTTATTTATTGCACATTAAAAACCACGGCCTGAGAAGATTACTTTACGCCGTTGCATAGAAACTTTTTGTTCCACTTCTAAGAAAATATAAAAGTTTTTTTTTAATTGTTCGTCGTTAAAAAAGATGTTGTTCTCAACATTGTTAGCTAAGTAATGACATTGACCTGAGTGTCAGTATTTATTTACTTCAAGCACTTAAAAATAAACGGTTTTACTTAAGAAAAACATCAGTTAGGTATACGTGAGCGAAATGAATTAAGAACATACAAAAAAAGTTTTTTTACTATAAACAAACAGCTTTTTGTTTAAAATAATAATATAACGTAAATAAAAAAGGACGTAGACATATTTATTAATAATTATGTTTTCGGTTTACTCGCGTAACTGTGTGACGCGGAACTCGACTAGTTTCAAACCATGCTAGAGGCTCATATTCATGAGTAGCAATACGCGACCCGCGACGCGGCGACTGTCGCGCCCCTAGTGATATGTTTATTGTTTCATGTTTTTAATAAATTATGATCTTAAGATCAAAACATTTTGTATTCGCTGGCGTCTATATGTAATTTAATAAAACAGATATCTGTATAAATTTTTAATAGACCCTACAATTTTTAGAAAAAATACAACTGTTCCAAATACCTTAATTGCCTAGCCCTTGAAAAACACTAAAAACATAATGTAACTATGTATGACTGTATGTATTTCATACATAAGTAACTACTTTAGTAAATATTAGATCCTACCAACCTATTTTTAATGTTTATTTCATGCGTAAATAGCCCTTATTTCTACGCATCGAAAAGCGAAGATTATGTATACATGGATTATATTAATAGGATCTTCAAAGTAGTGTTTTTATAATGATTAATTTCCTCAATTATATTAAGAACCAGAACGCAATGATTGTTTAATTAAAACACTGTTCAATAAGCGTAAATAAAATTTTAATTATTGCTATAGGTAAGTACATGTATTTGATATATTGAACGATTTCAAAAGCCATTTTTGCAAAAAAAAGGAAAATAAAATCGAATGACGTCACTAAAAAAAATTCTTAATGTAGGTTACTATGCTGCTCCTTTTCTATCAGTATTTTTGTAGTACTTACATAAGTACCTAGTTTTGAATTATATACAGAATCTACACTACACAGCAAATACAACTGTAACTAGATCACTTGCATTGCGCAGGCTCATCAAGTAGCGAACATCATTAACATATAAATGGGTATTTTTTGACAAACGGTGCAAAATAATAAAAAAAACCTGTTATAAAATTGGAATTTAACTTCTACGTTAATAGAACTTAGTCTCCAGAATGCTTGGTTGTTTGTAATTCAATGATAATTCATTTTTAGTAAGACATGAAAAATTCATTAGGCTGCGCGATATCGCCGCGACCGTGCACGCTGCTCATGAGGAAGAACCCCTTTGTGGTTCGAAACTAGTAGAGTTATTCTCAGTATATTCACGTGAGTAACCCGCGATTTTTAGTTAATTTAGTATGTCTCACGGGAGTTATTATAAAATTCATCAGAAAAGTCATGTGAGCACAGCGGGGTCGCGCCTCTAGTCAATGATTTGTATGGAATTTATTTTCATTGTTTCAATATAATAGTTGAATTTCAAATGACCATTAGTTATGCCAGACACGACTCACGTGTGATTTTTGATTTATAATCACGTGGATATTGTGTCGAGTTAAATTTACCACAAAGTCGTACATATCGCTTGTAAATAAATAAATGCTAATCTTTTAAATATTCTAACAAATAATTTACTGTCTCACGAAAGTCTCATTCCTCTCACTATATTGACAAATATCTGTGACAGATGTCGCCAGCGATGTTGGGTGAAGTAGCGCGACGGTGGGCGACTTTGGTCGTCATATACGTATATGTCGGGCGAAATCACCCATCCCTTGACATGTTGCCGAAACTTGTCGTGGGAAATGTGTCCTCTAGTGTATGCTTGGCTTAATAATACTCTGAGAATGTGCCGATAATAATTATGATGTATAATACTTAATTAAAAAAATAGAATAGTAAAACTAAATCAGTAAGCTCGTAACTGCTTGATTGTAATGGACGGGGCCTAATAGGGATGATGCCGATACGGAGCCGCGATGGATTTAACGGGTTGCCGGGGCTCCGACTCGAAATCCAGGAGTAGGAACAGTAGGTATTCAGTTAGTAAGAGTCTGACTCTCCCTTACCCGGGCGGGAGAAGACATAAGATGATTTTCCCCCTTAAAAAAATAGATTACTCGATTGTTTCAAGCCCCTTCTGGGGTTCATAATGAAGTTACATGTATAGAAGTTGGTTTTAAAATAAAAGTACTTTTTGCAGTCGATTTGGCTTATTCAGGAAGATATGTGAACAAGCTAATAAAGCATGTTTATTCATCATTGATTTTTAAAAAAAGTACAATCGGCAAAACTTGCGCCTATCCCAACCCTAATTTCATTTTACTACGACGACACACTTGTCAGTGACCGTGATAACGCGAAAATTGCATGAAACACTGAATGGAACGGACCTTAACGTACAGCATTGAAATGTAATTATTCGCCTTTCTTTACTGAAATAAATATCAGTCAAGTACGAGTTGTAGTCGCATATGCAATGTTCCGTAGTTATATGTATCTATGTAAAAAGGTCGTTAGTCTCACTAAAAGCCGAGAACAGATGAAACGATTTCACTAATTTTGGTCATGAAATGATTGTACGATACGATATGATGTTTGTCGGTTCAGCTAGTCAAATATAAAATTACGTCTTAGAGACCATTTTCATTTGGTAATTTACGTGTATATCATTTACATTCTACATAGTAAATAATAAGTACCCATTCTTCTAAAACTTTTAAAGTACTGCTGTTTTCGCTCACTAGACAGTGCTAGTGTGGACCTCGCGTTCTTCGTCGAATAGGGAATTAGCAAGTATCACATCATTGGACGTACAATGCAAACAGCTGCAGTGATTGGACAAAAATCCTCTTGCTAGATTTGCGCCATCTAGTGGGCAGGAAAACAGTAGCTCCCCATTAAGTTTCTGTTTAGATGCGGG